TGGGGGGGCGCCCCCCCCCTCAAAAAAAAACCCCCAAAAAAAAAAAAAAAAAAAAAAAAAAAGAAGCTCAGCAGGTTTGTCCTGGGCCTTCAAGTTGGAAGGTTCCCTGTGCAAAACTTGGACCAAATACACCTGTTAGGGTTTTCTCCTGTAATCCTGTCTCCTGTCATAGTTTTGCCTGTGGGGACCAGCAGAGGGCGCTGTGGTTACGTCTCTGTACTATGTAGTACAGCACAGTTCAAGTCCTAGACCCGGTGGCTTAGAACTCCTACTGGGCGCGTGCGTGTGTGCCCAAGATCCCGAGAGGAGAATGGAGGAGAAGGGATTGCGGTGTGGCCATCCCCCAGGGGGGGTGGAATTCTCGCTTTCTGTCTCTCTGTCTCTGTCTGGTGAGCACATGCGCCCTATAGTGAAAAATCTCTTTCCCCCCAAAAAAAATTATTTTGGGACCAGCAGGTGGTATGGTGGTTAAGGCACTGGACATACCCACATGGCTGACCATGGTTCGAGTCTCGGACCTGGTAGTTTGCTTTCTCACTTTCTCTCTCTGGTCAAATGAAATGAAATGAATGAATGAATAATTCTTTAAAAATATTATTATATTTAACTTTATTTATTTTAATTTGACCAGAGAGGGACAGAGTGAGAGAGAGAGGAAAAGGGAACGTGAGAAAGCAAGCTGCCAGTTCCGGGACTTGAACTGCAATTGGCCATGTGGGAGGGGGGTTAGGCAGGAGCCAGCCAGGAGGGACAGGACAATGGGGCCCCAGTTACCGTCCGTAGATGATGGTACCGTGAGATGGTTGCAGGGGACTGAACTGGTTGGAGGGGACGGGGTGTGCCTCTGGATCTTTCGGGACTTGGGTGCGCTGTCCAGCTGGGGATGGGAACCAGCGAATGTGTCCCTCTGTCCCTCTATGACAGCAGGCTTCCCGAGGTCACTGCTGCACCCAATCCTGGGAGGCAGGGGTTGGGGGGTGGGGGGAACAGTAGGCACAGGGAAAAAGACAGTGTAACATGGTTCAGCAAACAGCAGGAGCAGGGCAACCTAACAGGCCTCTCTATACCCTGGTGTGCAGGTTAGCAAGATGGGGGGGACCTCTGGGGACTGCGCTAGGGGGTGTCCATGACTTAGTAACTGGTGGGGGCGGCCACAGCCAGGGTGCCGCTGGACAGACTGGGCAGTCCGTGGGGGGTCAGGGAGAGTGGCTGGGAATGGCAGGAGGGGTCCCTGGGGCCTGGGGTGTGGGAGGGAGATGTTATCCCTGGGAGAACCAGGAGCCCAATACAGCCTGACTGCCCCTCGGGGCGTTTTTTTTTTTTTTTTTTATTAAATTTTTTTTTTTTTT